ATATATGCCAGGCTTCATCCCAACCATTGCAAGGAAGTCATTGTATGAAGAAGAGCAGACATGCAGCTTGCTAAACTGACGCGTGGTAGACGAGAGTGACCGGTCTGTGACTGGTCTGACGCCTGTCATGTCATAGGCGGACAACCGCGCTCCCGTTTTACACCTCCTTCCGGCGGAGTGGAGGTAGGTATGACCCATCCCATCGGAGGGTCATTCGGACAGCAGCCATTGCAAATCTCCGCCCATTTATGAAGGGATGACAGGGTGATCTCCGGGAGCAGACGAGTGAGGACGCCTGGCCACACTGAAGAACAAGCTGTGTTTTAGCTTCCAAGAGAAGGTGAGCCAAGTTTTGGTGAAGATAGGGTGGGTCCCCACCCAAAAGAAAAGTAGGTAGAAGTGGAGCATGTGGGATCCCCTTGAGTTATAAACGGAGGACCTTGCCCACCGAAAAAAAAGGAGAGAGGGAGGAGAAAGGGAAAAGGAGGAAGACAACTGAGAGAACACCTAAGCTCTCTAGCTCTTCTGCTCTCTGTAATTCCTTGACACTCAGATCCACCAGAACACAGGAGTAGGGTATTACGCTTCTCAGCGGCCCGAACCTGTATACATCGCCCGTGTCTTGCGCGTTTGCTCTCTCGCGTACATTCCACAGATCGAGGACCTAGAACCTCACTCAGCGCCCCCGGCCGAACCGGCAAAGGGGGGCCTGCGCGGTCTCCCGGTGAGGAGCCCCACGCTCCGTCAATAATAATGTTTGATTTTAAAATCTGAATGACAATAAAGAGGGGAGATAGCAGGCAAGCTGTGGAAGAGTATAGTGGCAAAGCCGCTAATGGTTTGACGGGACTTCTAAAAAGTAAAAAATGAACCCAAACAATAATTATGTTCGATTTTAAAAATCCCAATAATAATAAAGAGAGGAGGCAGCGGATGGGCAGTAGAGAAATAGAGTGGCAATGTTTGATGGGACTTCTAAAAATTATAAAAACGAAACTCAATGAGACAATAAACTCTAAAAACTATAAAATGAAAATTTTAAAGTTTCCAAGGAGAATGAATATAAATAGTAACAGATCAAGCAAACAGATAAGGAATAGGATGACTTTTAAAAACTATAAAATTAAACACGGAGATGATATGGTTTGGTCTTTAAAAGTCTTAAAATAACAAGATAACTATTCAATAAATTTTAAATAAAATCGTATTAAAATAGATAATTTTATATGGATACTAGCCGCGCAATTGTGTTTTATATTATAAATCATTTGACTTTTTTTCCTAGGCAAGTTTGACCAAATTTGGTTTCTAGCTACACTTTGCCACTTTACATATTTGGCTGTCACATTTTATTAGGCACGTGTTTGGTTCACTGTTATAGTTGTGTCTGCCGTACTTTTTTTTTTAAACCTAAGGCGGAACTTTGTTCCACTTTTATATTTAGAAGAAGAGAATTGACCCAGTTTATAAGGAAAACCGGGCCCGAAAACCATACATCCGCACGGTTAATTACAGGAAAACCGGCTAAAACACACCGCTACACTACTAACCACGACGGCGGAGCCCAAATGCAGGACGTCGTCGCCAAGCTAAACACAAAAGCCACCCAACAACTCCCACACCGCAGAAGAGGTGTTATCGTTGCCGAGCTAGCCGCCCAAACGACACAGCAGCGCCGACTTCACAACCACAGCGACACTAAAGCCATGAAAGTCGCCAAAGCAAAAAGCAGCTCCGACATCCAACAATGGACATCAGCCAAGCCACCGAGGAGCCACTTCCTTCACACGGCCAGCACCACAACTCCTAGGAAGAGACTGCAACATGTCATCGTTGCCAGGCGTCGCCGCACCCCATCAGCGAGCAGCTCCGACTTCATCAGCAGAAACAACCAAAGAGCGTGACACCCACCACGAGAAACAAAGCGGACCCAAGAAGGCGAAGGCCTCGCCGAACACAATGTATGAGAGCTTTTGAACCGAAAAGCACTATCAACAGTCGTCAATGTGTTGGAACTTCTCCGAAGCGACGCCCCAAAGGAGGACACGACGTCGTAACGCCGCCGCCACTCGTCCGAAGCCGGAACAAGGTTTTCACCTGGAGATTTGTGGGGGATATGAAAGAAACGCCATGACAACGTCTCCAAGAAGGAAAACGGCGCCCACGGGCGCCGTCGTCGTCGAACCGGCCAAAGGCACGGCAAGGCTTTCGCCGACGTCTTCGTATCACCCACACAAGCACCCCCACAATGACGGCCACAGAATAGTCCATGACGTCTCACAAGCATTCATACCTCGACCATAACGGCAAAGACAGGCCCTCTGGCGCGGAGGCGACGGAACTGGTCGCGGACGGCCAGATCCAGCCAGGGCGGCGCAAGCCAGCTCGACGTCCGCGCCGCTGCAGCTCCGTCGTCGTCGCGACCACCACGCCGCCACAGCCTCTATCGCCACCGTTGTGACCCTGCGCGGACGGACGCCGACGCCGCGACCGGCGCGAGCGAGCCGCCGCTGCCCGCCCACCGTGACGCCGCCCCTGCCTGCCACCATCTCCGCGTCGTCTCCAGCCCCGGTGCTGACCTCCCGTCGACACCGCGACCTCGGGGCGAGCCACTGCTGCCCACCGCGAAGCCGCCCCTGCCTGCCACCGGTCTCCGCACCCTCTCCAGCCCCGGCGTTAACCTCTCCCCCGCCGCCACCTCCCAGCGCCTCGCCCGGCCCGGATCTGGACGGGAACCTGGGCCGCCGGTGACGGGAGCGTCACCGGCCTGCGCGCGAACGTCGTCCTCCTCGCACGTCGCCACTTCCGCCGCCTCTTCCGCGCTCCTCGTTGAGCGCGCGCCTCCTTCCCGTCGCCACCGGCTGAGACGCCCGATCCAGCCCTGTGGGGACCGGATCCGGTCCTACCGACGCCGGATCTGGCCACCGGCGACCGCTGCACCCGCGAGACCTCTTTCCGGTCATGGCATCGCCCCAGCCGCCGCGCCCGCGAGAGGAGGTAGGGAGCCCCGCCGCCGCTGTCATTGCGTCCCCCCGGCTTTGCCTGCGGGCGCTCGAGCGGCGGCAAGGTGGAGGGGAGAAGAGGAAGAGGTTGGCGGCGGCGCGCTCGCCTAGTCGCCGCCCGTGCCTCCCTGGGGCTGAGCGGCACGAGGGCCTTCCTAGCTAGGGACTTGACTATGGGGAGAAGTTTCCTTCCTGCCGTACTTTTTAAATATCATGTTTCGCGTATAGTAGATTTAACTTCTTTTCAACTTTACTATACTTTATAACTAGTGATTTGTTCGTCATATGTTTGTGACTGTCACAACTTGTGTAATTTTAATTGCGGTAAAGTGTGACCGGTAAACAAAGCAGATTCAGCCATGAGATCGATCTGAGTCGGCGTGTCCATCGCCCGTTGCGTCCACGTGCGCTACGTTGCCATTGCCTGCAGGTTGCGGACTTGCGACTGCGACGTGGGGAGGCTTGAGGCCAGAGGCTGTACAGCCTCATCAATCAGCTAAAGCTCAGCTGCCAACGGCAGCGGCAAAGTCCTCGCGCGCCCATGCCCATGACCATGCCACTGCAAATCCTCGAACTCTCTGGGCCTCGCGTTGCAACGCAACACCAACACACACTGGCAGCCGGGCGGGCGGCGTACTATGTGTCTTGCTGCCGCCGAACGCGTCGAACGCGTCGGCGGGCGTCGGCATCGTTCGGGATCTCCGCTCCTTCGCCTCCTCCATCGCCACCCACAGGCATGCGGGAAGACGCGGCAACCAGTTGCTTGCTTGCTTTTGCGGCTGCATCTCTATCAATCACGGTCGCGGGTGGAAATGCTTTCCGTGCCTCCTCAGCGACATCTGCGTGTGCGATCGAAGACGGATCAAGCAGAGACTAGGTCCCGTTCTTTTCTCCAACAAGATTTAGATGAAGATTAAGATTTTCATGGCATGTTTTTTAAACTGTTAAATGGTATGTTTCGTGCGAATACTTTCTATACGGAAGTTGCTCTAAAATATCATATTAATCTATTTTTCAAGTTTGTAATAATTAAAACTCAATCAATCATACGTTATTACCACCTCGTTTTATGTAAAAAAACTTAATCTTCATCTTTACGTTCATGTTCATCTTCAGGAGAAAAGATCACCACCAAGTTAGCGACTGACATGCCCGCGGCGCGAGCCGCAACATTAGACATGAGTACATAACACCTCTGTGACTCTAGGCAGTATCCCTTTTTTTTTAATCATGGGAATTGATTCCAGTTGAAATGGTTATGGAAATTTCTGAAAAAAATTATAGACAATATAGAATACAATGACATTTATTAGTTAAAAAAAATCAAGTTTAAATTCGACTTACACATTATGGGAAAAGAAGATAAATTCGAATGTAAACTGTACCACTACTATTCCTAAATTTATCTTTTTTTTTAAATATCTCAATGTATGATTTGAGTTTGAATGTGGCATATATATGTTGTGTGAGTGTTGTTAAAGTTTTCATAATCGTTTGGATGGTTTTTAAATAAACGAGGAGTCATTCCCTAAAGTGATCAAAATATCTTCCCGCAGATCAACTGGGTATTTACATCAGGTTTACAAATCGGAACCACTAGACTTCCTAGACTGGTCGGTTTTCAGTCTTCCCAAAATAAAAATTACACTGAATTTCAGTTTTTTTTAAAAAAAATGACCAGATTTTATCACAAGTCAAACTGTTTTTCCGAAAACTGAGAAAACTGTTGGTACCCGGTTTTTCGCTCAATCGGTTTTGTGAACCCTGACCATCCCGGTTTTTCGCCCAAAATCAGTTTTGTGAACCCTAACCATCCCCAACAAATTCATCAATCTCAGATAGCTGGTTATAAGACTTACAAGTTACTCCCTTCATCCAAAAAAAGGCTGGATGCGACATATTCTAGTACAACGAATCTGGACAGATGTATGTCCAGATTCATTGTATTAGAATGTGTCACGTCCAGTATTAGGTTGGTTTTTTATGGGACAGAGGGAGTACAACCTTACTACAAGGCACCACTATTCAGCATGAATTGTAACCCCATGTATCATCGTATAATATTCACCAACATGAAGCACGTGATTGGTATAGCCCTTACAAGTAAAGGCGCAGATACGCATCAGATCAACTGCTCTGCAGATATACCAGTATCATGCTGCTATTCACAAGGCAAAAAAAAAACGTATTGTCTAGGCAAGTCCTGCTTCTCTCGTGCTATCACTGTACACACACATAAAACATTACCCTCCAAGCTATTTCTCTATAGCGCCTATACATAATATAGCGTTAGCAAAAAAAAGTAAAAGAAATATGGATCGACTTCATACGGCAGAGCCGAATGGTTTTCTGTTGGATCAGTTTTTATCAGGCGTTGGAAGAGGAATCTGTTGATGTTCTGACTTGCCTTCTGCTGTGACGCTCATCAATCATCTTCTGCCCTATATACCTGTCAAATGTTAATAAACAAGGTCATTGCAACAGTTACAACTGGACCATTGTAGAGAGGGATCTTAGATCCTAGACTGTTACTATGTGCTATGCATGTGATTTTCATTTCCTCCTAAAGCTAGGAGACATTGCATTCAAATTTCCTGACAGAACATGGGATAAACTTGCTTGAAAACCTAAATTATTTGTTGCCTTAAATACAACCAACAGTAGCAGATTATAGTGCTACTGAATTATACTATTATGGAATAAAATATTTGATGGATATCTAATCCTTGCTAAGAACCATCTCCTGCAGTAATCAATTTGCAAGAGCTATTCTCATTCATACCTGCCCATCATCATGATTGTGGCTTGAGGATTGGTCCCAGGTGTTTCCCTGAATGTTGATCCATCCACCACACGAAGAGCACGCACACGAAAAACACGGAAATCCCTGTCAACCACACTTCCAGCTACACATCCTCCATGATAATGCCATAATGTTGCCACAGTCTGCTGGCAGAAATCACCCAGAGCTGTGTCATTTGTTCTCCAGTCAACTGGCAGTGCAGCCCCAACAATCCTGAACTCCCTCCTCCTGCTGTCTTGGCTCAATGATCCCATCGCTGAACGAAACACATCCATTGTCGTGCTCTCAAGCACTTTCGCCACACGCCGCATGCCCGTCACACACCGTGCCAAGTCCTCACGACGGCTCAAGTAGTTGAACCGCACTGAAGGGCTCTCCAAGGGATTGGATGATGTGAGCCAAAGTGAACCTTCAGACAATGGTCCAGGAACCTTTTCCATGATGGTTACCACAGTAACATAAAGTGGCGAAGACGGGCTGAACGGACCACCACGGCGTAAGATGGGAGCAAGGGGAACAATGTATGATGCAGCCTCAAGGTAGGACTCATTCCCATTAGCAGAAGGAATGCCAACTACCTGGATAAGGGAGTGATCGATTGGGATTGATGGGATGATGGAGATGCCGTTACGGGGGTTGTCAAACATATGCTTGCCAACATCAGGGACATCAGCAAAAACTGGGATGCCTAGGGATGTAAGATCATTGGCAGGGCCAATGCCACTGAGGAGCAGCAACTGGGGACTCCCTAGGGAGCCTGCAGAAAGTATAACCTCCCCCCCTGGGCGCAACAATGCGTGGTGCTGCTGGAGAAGACGGTCCTGGTAAACGACACCGCTTGCTGCTACTGCTGGCTGTGGAGACCTTCCACGGCGTGCAACTGGACAAGTACAGCAAAAGTATAAAAGTTCATTCGCACATACTTAAAACAGTTTATGATGAAATGTTATGTGTTATTACATGATCATTGATTCAGGAGAATTTGGATAATGGTTAGCATGAGGAGCAGTTAATCTAGTACATTTCACAAAAATTAGAATTCCTAACAAGCATGAAGTTTTGGCTTGTAGTAACGTATTCCGCAGGACAGTTTAGTTCCATAGTCATTGGGCTACTCCTCTATCTGACATCTTTGTTTTCAGTTCACATCTCTTTCCAAGAAAAAGTTTTTAAGTTCATAACATACCAGAATAAAAATGTAGTATTTTTTTCTTGTAAATGAAATTGAGATGAGCACAACTATTCACAAGTATCAGTACTAGACTGGTTCTAAAATTGTATCTATATTTCTCAACAAATACATAATTAGCGAATCTTCTAGAAAAACAGTGTAGAACATTGAAGAAAGCTCTTTTATGCTCAGTGTCATTTTTTTTAATAAAAAAAATCAGCATTGCAACATGCTCTTAACTAGTAGAGTATATGATAAATGTGTTTGACCCAGAATGGCATCATCTGATCATCATCTGCATTACACAAATACACAGGCACATAACTTCCTCTGTATATTCATCATGCAAATGAATGGCATGATCAAGTAAGGGTAATTAAAGAAGAACTTTGGGTTCTATCTAAGTATCTAACAGGATCATGCAGTCTACTCATTTCATGAAAAGTAATCAAACAAACTTTGCTGACTCAAGACATCATAAGTTCATAACAAGTATGTGGATGAAAATGATAACTCAAGTGGCCTTACCAAATGTCCACATTTTACGTCAATTCAGTCATATGTCAATCTTTCAGACAAATATTTTCCGAAGCACTGCACAGGCAACAAAGTAACAAGCAAACAAGTATTAGAAGAAGAATGCATCTCACCAGGTTCAATTGGGCTCATGATGATGCGAGTAACCGTCGCACGGATGGCAACACGGAGACGGCCAGGGCGTGCAAAGGCGAGGAGATCTGCGGCACTCCGGCGGCGGCCTGACGAATCGAACGTGGTGGCACCAACCTTGGTGCCAGAGACATGGTCCATTGTAAACCCGTTCCATGGCGTCACATTAGCTTCCAGCAACCCCGCACGCACCGCCGCCTGCCACCCACGCACCACCGGCTGGAACGCCAGTTCACGCTCCACCCACTCGTAGGACGAATTCACTAGCTTCATGTCCCAATTCATCGCCTCACCACCCTGAATCCCCAACAATTCACAAAAGAATTCATCAGACATGACACTAGTTAATTTGTTTACTCGATTCTGCACGAGAATTTCGTTGTCGAACTAGCTTCGCGAACACCGCAGACATGACAGGCACGCGCCACGCGCATGAACAACCGAAGGCAGTGAGATGCAGAGAAAGAGGGGGGGGGGGGGGGGGGGGAGAGACACTGACCTCGCCGTGGCTGCGGAACCAGTCAGGGTGGGCGCGCGAGTAGAAGCCGGCGTTGATGGAGGTGGCGCCGCCGAGGACGCGGGCGCGGACGTTGGGCACGCCGTCCTCGGAGGCGAAGGTCTGCGCGGGCGCGTCCGACTCGGGCGCCGGGTCCGCCATGGCGAGCGTCCTGACGAACCCGCCCGCGGTGGCGAGCGGCGGGAACTCCGCGGGCGCGCCGCCCCGCTCCAGCACCAGCACGCGCCCGCCCCCCGGCCCGGCCAGCGTCGCGGCGAGCGGGCACCCCGCCGTGCCTCCCCCGACCACGATGTAGTCGTACGCCTCCTCCGCCGCCGTCTCCGCCGCGTCCACCACGTACCGCGCGTACGCCGGCGGCGGCGCCACCACCCCTGCCGCGAATCAGACTAACATCAAATTCAGACACATCGAAATTAACCGGGAGCGTCCACGATCATATATCGAGGCGCGAGGCGTTAGGCGGCGTTACCTCCGAAACCGCGGGGCTGGGCGGCGGCGAGGGTTGGCGCGACGAGGAGAGCGGCGAGGAGGAGGTGGAGGCGGGTGGGAATGGCGGCCATGGCGGGTGGTGCTAGGGTTTGGGGGAGTGGGTTGGGTTTTGGTGGGGAGGAGGAGCGGAGAAGACGAAGTGCGGCGTTGCCGTTGGGGAGTGGAGGGAAACGGAAACAGGAGAGGTGGATGACGTCAGGCAGTAACGGATTACGGGTTGCTTCGCTTGTTTCGGAGAAAATTGACATTTTGCCATTGTTAAAATGGGGTTTTGCTCGAATGCCACTCCAAAAAGTAGTTTCGTTAAAATGTCATTCTCAAATAGGGGCAACATGTTGCAATGCCATTTCATCCATTTCTTCTCAATTTAATGATTTTTGTAGTGTTTTTTCTTGCTAAGATGACTAAAATACCCTTGTATCCTATCTCATCTCTCTCTCTTCCTCCTTTCCGTTGCAGATGCACAGCTCGGCTCGGCTGCGTGGCTGTGGATGGGGACGACGCCGGCGTGGGTGGGGAAGGCTGCCCCGAAACCTAGCTGACGCCGCCGCAACCATAGCCGCCACCGTCACCCCGGCCTTAGATGTAGCAGTCGCCCCGCCCTCAGATCTAACCGTCGTCGCGCCACCGCCGTGTGTGTCATCAGGATACTTCTGGCGTGAGGGAGGGACGAAGACGGTGGAGCATATGGACATACAGGCGGCGGCGGCGCAGCTGGGGATGGGGAAGGTGGCGACACGGCTGGGGACGGGGACGGGGACGGCGGCGGCGCCGACATGGTTGGGGCAGGTGGGGATGTTCTCCTACATCGACACGGATGGCGTCGCCGGCACCACCGTCATCCCAGCCGCGCCGCTGAGCCAAGCAGCCTTCCCCACCCACTCCGGCGTCGTCCCCGTCCCTAGCCGCGCCGGCGCCGAGGATCCATCTCCTCCACGCAACTCAACTAAATAGTCATAGGGGCAATTTTGTCACGCCACGGTGGAAATTATTTGCAAATCAACTAATTTGGTCGAAATGGCAAAGTAGCAATGTGGCGTCGTCCAAAAATGGCATTATAACGAAGCCACAATCCGGAGTGGCATTCTGGCGAAACCCCATCCCGACGATGGCTAAATGTCAATTTTCTCCTTGTTTCGTGGGCTTTTGAAGAGTGCAGGACGTGTCATTTGGGCCAACGGATTCCTTAGCCTCGTATGGATGGGCCGAACTCCTACCTTACCGATCCAAAGGAATAAGTTTGCATTAGGTCCTTTAAATTTGTCACCGAGTCTGAAATTCATCCATAAACCGAAATACAGGTATAGCCCATTCTACAACTCATAGTACCGTGTCAACTTTAGTTCCTCGACGATATAGTGGTTGATTTTGGTTGACGTGGTGAGACCCACATGCCAGCAGCCAATTGTTTTCCCTCCTCTTCCCACCTCTCTTCCTCACTTTTCCCATCTTCTTCAGGGCGACACACAACGGGCAATGTAGAGAGGGGGTGGCGGACGACGAGAAGTAGGGTGGTAGCTGCGGGTGGGAGGCCAAGTAGAGAAGGAGCGTGAGAGTGGATGAGACCAGGAGGAGTGGGCGGGGGTTGGGTGGAGGAGTGGGCGGGGTTCAGGCAGAAGAGGAGCGGCTGGAGCAAGGGAAATGCACAGACCAGCGGTGGTGGTGGCAACGATAGCTGGGGTAGGGGTGCCATCTTCTTCTACCTCCTACCTTGATGGACCTCGACAGTGGTGTTCATGAGGGAAGCGAGAAGATAAAGACCACTGTCTCTAGGGGCGCCATCTCTGGGGTCGTTTCCCTCACCAATGAGCCGTCGTCTGTGCCCAGTGAAGATCCCCAATAGTCTCACCGACAGGATCCCAACGCACCTGTCCGCCTGTCGAAACCTCGTCGTGCTCATGCTCATCAACATCACCACCACATTGCCAGGGAAACAATCGGAGTTCAATACCTCTCCCTATTCCTTCTCTTGCCCCACCATTCCCTTCCTCATGGGCACCAGTGTCGTCAAAAGCTCGATGGGCTAGTGGTCATCGTTGACGCGTTGTTGTCTCCATTCACTGCTGGACCTAGCCATCGCCGGATCCCCTCTTGTCAAGCATCCTCTAGCTGCTACGGACCGCCACGGTCCCCTGCTCACTAGCCACCCCACTCCAACGCTTGAGAAAGTGAGAGATGGGGACTAGAGGGAGATGAGTTGGCCAGTGACATGTGGGGCTCACATGGGTCCCACTCGTCACGTTAGCCAAAATCGGGCACTATACCCCTGAGAGATCAAAGTTGACACGGTATTATGAGTTGGAGAGATGTGTTGTATCTAATATTTCAATTCAGGGATGAATTTCAGGCTCAGCGACAGATTGAGGAACCTAAGTGAACTTACTCTCTGATCCAAATGTATGGGAAAATTGAGAATGTATGTTCAGGAACGAATTTCTCGGCTCAGAACGTTGTTGGGCTTCATATCGGCCCATCCAGATGAGGCGTTAGCGTTTTTGGAATTTCAGCTCAGATCCAGCAGCATTTGTCAGCATTCGGTTACTTCTGCCTCCCCGGCTTGGCTGGGTGGATGAGAATTGCCTCCCCTGGTGCGGCACAAACGCCGAGGCTGGCCGGCCGCATGCGCATCACGCCGGGATCCCGCTGTCCCTAAAACCCGCGACACACCCAGCAACCACCATTGCCTGCCGCGCCCGATCCATCCATCGCCATCACCACCGCACCGCGTGCGCCGCGCGCGCGCCCCCTCCATCTCCAGCAAGCTCGGCTTTGCAAAATTAACAAAAACCATATCCAATCACATGCCTGTCTCCCGTTTCTCTCCGCGGATGCCATTGCCACCACAGGCTGTGTCTCCGTCTCCGCCACTGTACGCGGATGCTCCTGCCTCTCCTCTCCCCGACTCCGCCACGTTCACCACCATCCGTCGCGCGGCCACTAGGCCACACCCAAATCCATATCACCATTGCCGATCTCTCCTTGTTTATAGTAAACACCCCGTTCAGAGTACTTGAAGCAACTGGTGAGAATATGAAGGAGCTGAGAAAACCAATTTATGACTTCTATAGAAGTTTATATTCTGGATTTTTACAACTACAGATTCTCATACTCTGAGTGAACTATTTGAGAAGCTTCTAGCAACGGCAACTTCTACAAAAATCTCCAGCTACCATATGCTCCTCAAACAGGCTCATAATCTACTCCAATACAACGAGATTATTGCGGGGATCTGGGGTTCGATGACGTCGCCTTGTTCCAACAGCGAGCTGTGCTTAACCATTAAAAAAGGTTTAATCATTTGTGCCTCGAGATCGGAGGTGTCGGGGAGGACGCGAGGTCTCCCGCAAAATTCTGCTGTCGTTGCCTCGTTCGTTGGGTGGGGGAGGCGCCCCCGAATCAAGCAGAGGATCTATCTACACGTCGATCGCGTGCCATTTTGCCAACGGATGTTCCTCCAAACAAGCCCGGTTTCTTGTGCTCGTTTTCAGGGGAGAGATCCACATGTAATGTGATGATATGTAACCAAAGCTTTACCCACAACCCCCTCTCATGATTGCGGCTTCTTCTGCCACTAGATCATCTGATCATGGAGGAGTATAAACTAATGGGCAGCCAAATCTTCTCCGCGAGAGAAATCTGCAGGATATATGTATACTAATCAAGTAATCATAATCATCATGTATAATACTCAATCCTTAACGTGCCTGTCTGAACTGAAAAAACAAATGCAGAAGTTCAGACTTTCAGAGGTTCAGGCAATGTGCTGTTCGTAGTCAAGTCAGATAGAGCAGGTTGATCTTGCGCACCCCCACAGCATGATTCACTCATCTACTAGCTATCTACCTACTAATATCTTAGGGAGATGAGATGAGATGAGATGTGATCCTTCTCATGCAGGCAGGAGATTGTTTTTAGAGCAAGTTTAATAGTATAGCTAACTATGGGCTTCAAATCATCTATAGTCAATTTAATAGACAATTCATATACTCCATCTATTTCTAAATATTTGACGTCGTTGACTTTTAAAAATATGTTTGACCGTTCGTCTTATTCAAAAACTTTTGTGAAATATGTAAACCTATATGTATACATAAAAGTATATTTAACAATAAATCAAATGATAGGAAAAGAATTAATAATTACTTAATTTTTTTAATAAGACAAACGGTCAAACATGTTTAAAAAAGTCAACGGCGTCAAATATTTAGAAATGGAGGGAGTAATAGTTAACTATAAACATGTACTATATAATTAATGTCTAGTCCCACATGTCATACACACATGTATCTTGGAATCCGTGCTCGCTGCTCCTATCTCTTCTCTTTTATCTTATTAAAATATGTTTATAGCTAGCGTATAGTCTGTTATTATACCTGCTCTTATGGCTGTTGAACTGATGATGATGATGATGAATACTCCCTCCATTCCAAATTGATCTACATATAGTTTTTTTGAGGTTATTCCTAAATGATCTACATATTTGTGTTCATTCATTAAGTCTATTCGTTATTTGTGCATTGGAGTAAATAGACATTGATGCATGCATCCATGTACATAAGTATTTATAACCCACATGCAATATCTTGATTTGCTATTTGCTAGGAAATAGTGGGGATGGTGCATGTATAAGGTTTGTTGCTAGAGTAAATATTGTATGAGAGAGTTATTAGTTTTTTTTAGTCTTGGTGTACCTATGAAATATGTAGATCAATTTAGAATGGAGAGAGTAATAAACAGCTACTAGCTAGTGGCATGGTGGCAAACTAGTTTAAAGCAGTAGAAGTTTCTCTCCCCACCAAAAAGATCACAACTAGGCGTGCCCCCAACAAGCTGTCCCAACTGTCTCACTTGCTTTGCTTGCCTAGAGCTTAACAATAATTTGGAATCTAGGACAAGGTTTTTGTGCCCTTGTGATTAGTGAGCATGCTATTCTATTGAGCCTTGTGACAGTTTCATTCATAAACAACTCACAAAGCCAATGTAAATTAGTAGGCAAATAGGGGAGTGAGAAAGCAACTTGCATGCAGAAGATGCATCAAAAGGGCATCAATCATGTTTATCAGGCAACTATGCATATATCTTTTGCATAAAGTGGCCAAAGGGGGGAGCAGAAATTTAAAGCAAAAGGCTCAGAAGAATGTGAGTTGCAA